ATCAACTTGCTAAAAAGTGGTCCTGGGGCAATGGTGACGTAATCTGAAGTGCCAAGCAGCTGACTCTAGGAAACTTCTATTTGGTTAAGTTTACATAAAGTAGGTTGATAACATGTACAAGGTTTTGCACAGAAAATGGAGTGCACTACTGAGTGACCTTTTTCTCATTTTTGTTTGAGACAGGGTCTCACTGCATTGTGCAGGTTGGCTCCAAATTCCTGGTTCAAATTATCTTGGTACCTTAATCTCCCATGTAGCTAGGACTACAGGCATGCTCTAGCACCTTTTTTTAATCTAGTAATTTTAAATAAATATTACCAGGCTGGAAGTACAGCTCACTGGTAGAGTACATGCTTATGCATGAGGCCCATGGGTACAGTGGCCAAAAAATAAACAAAAGCAAAAATAACCAACCAACCAACATCAAGTCTGCACAGGCATCAGTCCCTGGGGTACAACAGTGGCTGAGGGCAATAGCCAGGACATGTTTTGGGAATAGGTTACCATTCAGTATAAATAAAGCCAAGCCTCTCAGCAGGTGGCTGCCAGTCCTTTGTGAGATATGTCTTGAGGTACAGATATCCCCAGCTAGAAAAACTTACACTAGAGAGTCTCCAACTTGAATTAACAGAAAAGAAAATATGCCTTTTCATCTGAAATTGGTAGAGAAAGCAGAGAACAATGCCTGATATTTCTTAAAAGAAATTTTCTTCTGTGGCAGAAAATCCAAAAAGAATTACTTGTCAAGAACCCAGCTCCATCAATTACAATTGAAGAAAACTTGTTTAGACAAAACACTTTATTGGGGGGAAAATGACTTTGGAACATTTGAAATACCTTGACCTATGATGTAATGTCCTCCAAGGAGACTGAGCTAGCAATTCTTCACTAGCAATGAAGTCACCCATCACCTTACCAAGTGCACAGGTAAGTAATAGTTCCAGATGGATCGACTGCAATGAATAATACTTACAAGTCATAAACAGCAAAAATTCAAGAAATCCAATTCTGCCACATTGTTTTCCACCTGCCAGAGGCCACAGATGTTATTTACACATTGCCTCTATCAGAATCACAGCTGTAGGTTTTCCTCTGCAAATTTTCTTTCCATGGCTAAGGTTATAGGATTTCTGTACAAGAGGGCGATTGGGTTTCTATGTGATCCACATACAGGTGGACTTCATACCTAGGGACCTGAGATAAGTGTTACTCTTGGAAAAGAGAATCAACCAACCTGGTTCTAAACCAAGCAACACAGGCAATACCTCCTTTGTAACTCCCTGGGCAGAGTTTTAATGATTCCATCTCACCACTCTGGTTACAAAGGAATCTAATGAGCTTTTACTCAAAACCTGCAGTAGTTAACACTCAAGAAATAAGGGAAGGCAGAAGAGAACGAACACATACATACACACACACACACACACACACACACACACACGGGGGGGGGGGCTTGTAAATGCTAAGGAAACAAAGTGCTGTAAAGAGAAACTGATGATACTATTTCCAGGAATTCCTGGAAGATGGGCTTTTAATTTTTCTTTATAAGGAAGAAGGAAGGTGGAACAGAAAATCAACAGGTAGCCTACGAGACATGGCAGAATATGCAGGCAAAAATGGGATTTCAAAAAAGCATGTGTTTTTACAACTACAAAATAATCCAAGAAATTAAATGACCTAACAACTACATCAATATCAGAAAAAGTTTAGGGTATCAAATTCAATTTATTTTTTAGGGGATACCGAAAATTGAACTAAGGACCTTGTGCTTGCCAGTCAGACACTGTGCTGCTGAGCTATGTCCCTGGCCCAAGATTCAATTTCTATAACTGAAAATTTTATAGTCTAGTTTCAGGCAAGGAAAAGAGATATAGAAAGATATACACACATAAATATGAAATAATACTAGATGACACACAATAACTTAATATTCAAAGGCTACATTTTATTGATGCCGAATAATGAGTATCAGTAAAAAAGGTATTATTTAAAGGCCCCCTTGTAGACTAGAGTACAAAGGAAGACTTCCTGGAGATGAAAACTAAATTAGAACCTGAAGAGAGGTCAGATCACCTTAAATAGGTAAGCAGGAAGATATTTAAGACATAAAGAATCAAAATATTCAGGATGTACATGCAGGCAATGGGAAAGACAACAAACACACCATATTAGAAGTGTGGTTTTTTAGTGCATGTTTTCATACTTACACACAGAAGCTAAAATCATTGATTTTTAAGAAAGTAGAGCAAAGCACAGGGGTGGCAAGCCTATGGCACTTGTGTTATTTTTCTTTTAAGAGAAAAGATGTTAAGTATAAAGTACGAGTTGTTTTTCATAAACTGAAATCTCAGTATTCAGATTTAATTGCAGTGCTGGCACTTTGCAAGAAATAAGTAGGTTTTGCATTGCAGTCTGGGAACTTGTCTTTCAAAGGCTCACCATCACTGGCACAGAACAATTAGTTCTAGAGACTGAAGAGAGTAAGAAGGGATCAGAGAGGGGAAGATAACTGGCATAGCAGTGTGGTTGAATGAGGAGCAGCTTCAAATGCTCTGCAGCACAAGTGGGATAACTGGATGCATATTTCCAAAACACCTAGTACAGACAATCTGGAAAGGTCCCAAAACACAGGAATGATAAGCATTTAAAGTGATCAATATGCTCATTACCCTGATCTGACCATTACACATTGTATGCATGTACTGAAATGTTACACTGTACCACGTAAGTATATGCAGTCACTGCCAGCCAGTTAAAAATAAAAACATATTTAAAAATAGGCAGAGAAATCACTTATACTAATTACACTGCTCAGCAAAGCTGTCTACAATGAACACACACTAGAATAATGAGGTGCAGAAACAAAAATCCCCAGGTCAAGACTGGTGAATCCCCTCATCACCCGGGAACTTACTAGAAATGAAAACTCTCAGGGCCCCCTCTCAGAACCACCAAAATATTCACTCTGGGGTGTGGTCTTCCAGTGTAGTTTCTTGGTTTTGCTAACCAAATTCAGGTTCTCCAGCATACTGAGCATGTGCTCTATCACTGAACTGCACACCTGGCCAAGGAGTATGGGTTTAAAAAATCCTACCAGGTGACTCTGAGGCACGTTCCTATTTTAAGAGAGCTCATCTATATATCACCAAAGGCAAAGCTAAGCTAAAATGCTCATAAGTAAATCCAAAAACATATACTAGAAGCATTCTAACACCTAAGAGAAACAAAACTTGTTTCTTCTATTGCACTTTAAAAAAAAATCTAGTTCCTGAAGTAGGGGCAAGTTTGCACTTTAACAAAAATTTGCTTTGCAGACCTGCTTCCACTCCACTTACCCTCCTCCCTTTACAGATCTCAAGGCTGATGTGCTTCTCATGGTATTTTCAAATTTGTATGAATAGGAAACTGGGAAATTCACTCCTCATTTGATTTATGACCAAAAATATCAAGCTCTTCTTGTTTCAGGCCTGGGCATGCTGTGAATTGAACAATGGCTATCCCATGGCTCATAATGTCACTTTTCTGCAGAATCACTGTGGAGCAAAGATGACTGACTAAAGTGTTCTCCATTGACTGTGATTCACACTTACTGAAAGAAATAATCTGGGACCTGGCTTTCCCTGAAACACACACAGGCTAAACTCGATCTCAAGCACAGCTAGGATCAGGATTCTGTGTTCCTATGTAACTACTTTTATTGTTGCTTTAATAATAAATTTTAAAAGACTTCTTATAAGAAACAGTAAACATGGGCTGAGTACGATGTAGCTCGGTGGTAGTACTGCTCACCTAACATGTATGAGGCACTGAATTCAATCCCAAAGGTGTGAGAGGACAGTAAATGTGAATTTAGAGCAATAAACATATATGACAATCTCAAGAAGGAAACAAACTCATCTAGAGAATGTTTCCATACTTGGTTGGGCACTTCACTCTGATTTAAGTTAGTTTTTCAACATCTTTAGGTGGCCCAAAAATTTCCACATGCCAAATTTCTTCAGACTCACTTAATACTTAATAGGTTCATAATGATTTCATGTGAATTCTGCTGTAACTATAAAAAGCCAAGTAATGTCAGGGACACTTTCCAATCCATTTAAAGTCCCATGAATTCCTAGCTGGGGTCAGATGACATCATTATCTACAATTTATTTTTAGCAACTTTGGTTTTAAAAAAAAAATAACACTCTCAGGGTAAATCATAAGTATATTTTTGGATATAATTTGATTGACTAATTAAGTAATACCCTGTAATTATGAATGAAGTTGTTTTTGTGTTCTCTGAATACTTGTTTGAAATCTGATGTCCTTTCGAGGTTCCACATCAACTCTCATTCTGCCCAACTCCACAGCCTCTATCAACACAGCAGGACAAATTCTTGTATACTCAAATGAGGTTAAGGTACTTTGTATTTGTTTGTCTTCGTATTTGTACTGTATGTCCTAATATACCTGAGCTGATCTGTACATGTCTGGCACTAAATCAAAGCACAGAACATAAAATCAAGTATCAGTCATTGAGTCTCTATTATGCAGGACCCTAGGGGTAAAACAGTAGCATGCTAACACACTAGTGTCAAACATTCACGTAACTAAAATACCAAGAAACCATCCGTCATATGCATGCATTCTCTGCTCTCTCAAAGTCTGTGTAAGTGGTAAAACAATACCCTAAGTAGAACAGTAATGAAGTCCATCTGAATGACCTAAAACTGCTACAAAATAAACCAGAAGATGTGAATTCACTATGCAGCCAGGCTGGCCTTAAACTCATGGCAATCTTCCTGCCTCAGTCTCCCAAGTGCTGGGATTATAGACCTGTAAACCCGAAGATCTGAAATACTGTTAATTTCCCCCTAGCCTATGGCTCATTCTTCCTGGGGCAGCTACAGTGAACACAGAATAAGTAGCTCTAATGGCTTCAGTGCCTACTTGCCAAGTAAAGGTGGTCACAGTTCTCCTTCCCTTAGCACCAAACCAAAAAAAGCACAGAAACTTACATAGTGGCTGTCAAGTCCCCACAGGTTCCTACATCTGCCAGGAGGTGATTTCTGTCTGGTGCAAGGGGCCCATGGACAGCTGCAGTTGTAGGAGATGGTGAAGAAAGTGAGTCCTGACTACTAGTAGGGGTGTCCTCCTTTGGAGAGTTAGGACTATCACCTAGACAGAAAAGAGCATTGAATGTCAAACAAATATTCAGACGAAAAAGAAACTCTGCTAACAATTACATGTCATTACTTGATTAGTCAATCAAATTATATTCCAGATTGCATTTACAATTCAGCCTGAGAGCATTTGAGTGTCCTATCTTTGCAGGGGCACGGGGGCGGGGGGGTGCGCGCGCATATATGTGTATCAAAGATGCTTAAAATAAACCACAGGCTGCTATAGTTTGGATACACACTGTCCTCCAAAGGCCCATGTGCTATAAAGGCTTAGACCCCAGTCCATGGTATTTTATTAGGCAATGGTGGCAACTTTAAGGGGTCTTGTGGTCACTGGGGTATGCCTCTGAAGGGGACACAGGGCCCTAAGTCCCTTTCCCATCCTTCCATTAATTTCTAGGTCAGAAAAGAGCAGCTCCCACATGCCGTATGGCTTTTGCTTTGGTGTGCTACGTCACCACAAACCCAAAAGCAGATCAGCCAGACTGCCATAAACTGAAGCATCAAAAACTGTGAGCCAGGATGAACTTTTCTTCCTATAAAGCCGATTTATCTTAGGGTGTTTTTTTTCCTAAAGGAAAGCTGAGTAACATAGCTAATAAAGAGAGTTTTTCTCTACTACATAACACAATCATCCAAGTCAGATCAAGAAGAAGAGAACCCCTTCATGGTAGCCACAGTGGTGTGCTAATCCCAAAAAGCCCAGGCACGAATCCATGATGACAGGAAGAAAGCCTGGAGCAACACACCAGCCTCACAGCACAGGACTCTCTCTAACCTTCTGGCCACCTACTGGGTCTCGTTTTAAACCATTCTCAGTCATTGTTTTGTGCATAATAAACAACTCTAAAGAGACCTGGCTCTTAAACTGGTATCTTGTATCACAATTTATAAAAGTCCAATTTATTAAAATTCTTCATGTAGAGAAACTTCAATTACCTTTTGTCTTACTTTTCTCTTGTTGCTAAGACAAATACCCAACACCTAAAGTTAAAGGGGGAAAGGTGTATTTGGTGCACAACTTGTAGAGGTCTGGGTCTATCACTGGATGGCTCCAAGGCAAGGTGGCAGGGTAGAGAGGCACTGCAGAGGAGTAATTAGCTCATAGTGGGCAGAAGGCTGCACAGTAAGCAAGAGATAAGACAGGCCCCTTTTGGCTCTTATGTTATATCCAGCGTACTGGAATTAGGGTGGTGCTTTGGTTTGTGTCTAGTTGTCCCCTCAAAGCCTCATGCAGTCATGGGGCAGCTTCAAGAGGTTGTGATTGGATTCTTGATTCTATGCTGGGACTTGCAGATGTGAGTGCTACACCACGGCCCTGGGGTAGCTAATTTGCATTACAAAGTAAGGAGGGGAGAGAGCCAGCTGGAGCTGCTGCCCCTCCCTTTGCTTTCTCACTTTTTGCCACTGTCATGAGTGGTTGCTCTCCGCTGTGTGCCACACTGCCTTGGAGCCAGCTAAGTATGGACTAAAACCTCCACTAACTCTGAGCTAAATAAACCTTTCCTTCTTTTATTTTGGATGTTGTGTATTTGTCCCAGCAATGAGAAGAGCAACTGAGGCAGTACCAAACGAATCAGTGAGCTAATTTACTAATCACCCATCCTTAATCCTAACCGCACCATGAATCAATCACACATAGTAGATTCAGCCACTCCTGAAAAACTCCCACCTGTGACTGCATGAGGCTTTGAGAGGCCATCTAGACACAAGCTGTAACACCTGTGAACATCAAGGAAGACGATGCATATAATGCAGTCTGCTGTAATGACCACATGGGGTGAATTCAAACCAAAATGAACAGGCATTTGCTATAGGAATTAATTTATGCATACAAGGAGGACCATTTCATGAAATAAGTTTAATATCATTTGTACATGTATGGGCTTAGGTAAAAAACAAAATATAGAAAAGAGACCTCACAAGAACAACTAGTCTTCTTGCTCCTACAATGCTCCAGTTACCATGAAATCCACTTGAACTGCAGGTGTTGTAAGTTGGGTCTGCAGCCTAATCCAGTTTCCAATAAATAAGCACCCCCAGGGTGATCTGCAGACAGAGTCCACAGAGATGGCACTAACTTGGCCTCATTCTGCAGTTGATGGGATTATAATAGTTGGTCAAAAAGTCTTTATAGAAGCAAATGTTCCTCAACAACGAAGTCCTTAAGGGCAGTCACCAACACCTTCAGGGTGGCTGAGCCTCAGCCCTGGATTCTAGGACCAAGTATGCCCAAATGTTAGAAAAAGCTAATAGTATGCTTTAAATAAATAAATAAATAAATAATTGAGTTGTTTTTGATAGGTTCTGGCCCTAATATAAACTGCTGAATTATTATGGTGGTCATCTAACATGGCAGAAGCCCTTAAAACCACAGCTTATCTTCCCAGAACCCACCTCCTCCCCCAGCTCCCCACTCCAGCCCCAGACACAGTTTCCTCTCACCTTTCCCACACACACAGGAGAGACCCCAGTCAGCTCCTTACATGTAACTGAAACTGCACCTCCCACTCCAGCCTGGCAAAAGCCCATGAAGCTTCAGCTTTGTGTCAGGCCAGAGGACTTTCCCATCTGCCCTGATCCTCTCCATGTCTTTGGACTTACTAAAGGCTTCTTTTATCTTTCTTATCTCTTTACTGCACTGTTGAAAAATCTATCAGTTTTAAATCCTAAAAGTAAAGCATGCAGTTCTGGCCTTGTGCTTGCTTTTGTAGCCCCTAGACTGATCTTGGACTCACAGCATTCTTCTTGTCCCAAGCTCCCCAGCACTGATTATAGGTGTGCATTACCATGCCTGTGTCCCAGGGTGACATGGATCAGGAATCAAACTCAGGACCTTGTGCTTCCCAGGTAGTCGCCTATGTCTTTGAGCTATCTCCCTAGCCCTCACAATAAATTTTATTGATTCCTAACCCAGTTTAAATCTTAGAAACAGAGACAGAGACTAAGACAGATAAAGAATATCTTATAAATGCAGATTTAGAAAAATTGGATTCAGAGACTTGGGAGTCAGAGGAAGTGGCCATGAGTGAGGAAGTGGGGGAAAGATGTATGAATGACTATGCAAATGATTCTAGGCAAGAAGGGTTTTCTGAGCTCTTCTGGTCATAAGGAGGAGGGTGAGGCAGGACATGAACTACCTGTGAAGGCAGACCTTTTCTTGGGCTCAGCCACCTCACAGTCATATACTGGCCCTGTCCACAAATATGCAGCCTAGAATATGGTTTGATTGCTGTTGCAGCAGAGTCATTTTTTCCAACAGCTCTTAACCACAAACACATTTAATAACTACAGAAATTCAGCCCCCAAAGAAGCTCCAATTATCAGGCAAATGAACCACAATCCACGGATAGACTGCAGCTATGATTTCTGTTTCTGGGGTGGAGTCCACTTTAGAAACATGATTGCTTATTCTCTGTGCTTGGAGAATTCAGAACCATTCAGTTCTTTCTGCCAATGAGCCCAAGGGCAGCAAGGCTTGGAGCTCCAGCATTCCAAGGTCCTAGTGGTGCCCTTCATCATCATGAGCAATCACTTCCTTCAAAATTAAGAGGTTCAGATGTGACCCTCAACAGTGATATGCATGATGGCTATCAGTTTGGGGCTCGGCTGGAAGTAGCACAGTGCCCTGTTCCAGCAGAAGCCTTGCAACGGTGAGTCCCATGCAAGTGACTCTAGGCTTTCAGGAGACATCATCCTGGCCCTCAGCCTCCCTGGGCCACACTCCCTGGCTGTGGGGCAGGGCTTGCCAGGGAGTCTGGGCCAACTTATTCCCATACTCATTTCTATCAGAAGGAAGATAACAATGAAAAACAAGTTTGGGGACCCACAGACCAAAGGGTTCATGTTACTTTAAAACCATGCTGAAGACCTCTTTTATAGCTAGACACAGCAGCTCATTTATGTTGTCCATGATGCCTAACCTTGCTGTGAGCAGACTGACACAGCACAGATTGTCATTCATCATACTCACATTTTTTTAATTGTGTGTGTGTGTGTGTGTGTGTGTGTGTGTGTGTGTGTGGCCAGCTCAGCCCACCAGGGGGCAGGGCTGGCTGGCATGTGGTGCTGGGGGATTGAACTGCGGTCTCTGTGCTTTGCTAAGCTTGTTCTAAGTAGGTGCTTTAGACCACTGAGCCATCTCACCAGCCCAACATACTCACATTCTATTAAGAGAATTTTCCCTGCCATCCCGTGGCAATCTGAACCCTCAGGTGAAAATAATCTTGGGAGAAGCAACTATGCTTTCCCACACTGATCAAACAATGAGATACCTCGTTCTACTTTCCAAGTACATAAAACTCCTTTCCCTCACTATTCAGGAAAAGAAAATCACTGAATTCAAAGAAAGAAGAGTACCCCAAATGTTATGTACTTAAACATTACTTATGAGCATTTCTGAAACTTCCCACAAATCAAAGTATCAAAGTAAAACTTTCAAAACTTCTTCTACATTCACCAATTTCTCCAACAAAGATTAAAACTCCTATACTATTTACACTTGACAATTACTCAGATGCCGTTATCAGCTCTCATCATTTCAGGGCTCCCAAAACCCGCTCGCCAGGGCATGTAGTACCCTTTAACTGGCATCTACAAAGATCTCATGTGTAAGTAAAAAGAGAAAAATGGTGATGAAAGACTCTCCCTATGGGGAAACTCCAAGATGAAAAACTCACAACAAATTGATACCTTACCACAGGGAAGAGAAAAGTGTCCTTACCACATCAGCCTAATTTTCACTTTTCCACACAGCACTTGCCAAACTCCTTGCTCTGAACCTCCCCTCCTATCTCACAACACCAGCAGCCATCAGCTTCACAGTCACCTATTCCCATGCACATTTTTTGTGGGTGGTGACTATTTTGCTAACACTTTCAGATCACAGTGTTCTTCCAGAAAATAAGACCATCTCAGGAATCCAGTGGCCTCTCTAGCACAAGAAATGTCATGAATATGGAAAGTCACTACTCTCAAAACTGAGAAGGAAAACTA